CTCGCCCTCGCGTTCGATGACGTAGTCATCCCCAAGCATGTCTTGCACCTCCTCGAGCGTCACGTCGTCGAAGTCCTCGAAGTCGCCGTACGGGTTGCCGTCGTCACCCCCGTCGCCGTCGCCCCTGCCCCTGCTTCGGCTGCGGCTTCTGCTACCTCTGAGCTGCCGCAAAAACGCTGGTAGCGGCTCCAGCCGCGGCCAGGAAGGCACTGGCCGGGGCTCGGGCTCGGGTGGACTCGCTGCCGCCGCCTGCGAACCCTGCGAAGCCGCCCTGGACGACGCCTCGTCCCTCTGCCAGCGGCTAAGAGCAACGTATGCTTGCCACTGGTTGCGTTCGGGCAGAAGGCTAGGCCCCTCGCTATCTTCGTTATCTTCCTGGAGCATGGCTCGGTCGCTGGACTCGAGCCTCTCGGACCGAAATGTACACGGACCTCATGGGGGCCGCAGTGGGGGCCTCTGGAAGCACTCGACCCCGCTTTTGATCAGAGTGAGTGGGGCCGAACGGTCTTACTCGCTGTAATGTGTAATGTGCTCCATGCGCGCGCGTGGCTGACTCTAGGGCGTCGGCTTCTGAGGGCCGCGTCAGGGGGGCACGTCTAGGGGCCACGTGGCGCTTCGCCCGCGCCTCAGCCACCCCCCCCCACCCCCCCCACCCCACCCCCCACTCGTAACCGCAACGGCGAGCTTCTGTGTCACCCCTGCCGTATCATTCCGCGCTGGCTGCCAGGTGGATGGGGCCATTGGGGAATTGGATTAGGAATTATTAACCACTGAATAAATAAGGAATCTAGGGTCTGGACGCCGGCGGAGGTCCAGCCGCGGCAGACGCAACGACAACCTACAGCCCACAGGCGGAGGGCAAGGCGTACTCGGAGGAGGGTGCGGGGCTGGATAACGCGCCCTCATCCTCTTGTCCGGGATGACAGGATGAGAAGACATACAATCCCCAAGGAGTGGTATCGGGCATCGGCGGGCTCGGGGCAGGAGGGCCTGGGGCTCTGGGGGGGCGGGGGGCCTGGACCTGGGCGGCGGACGGTGGGCGGTGGAAGGGCCTGGGGCTTCGGGGGGGGGGTATTGCGGCAGGGAGTTGTCGAGCAGGGGGAGGACTATTAATGGGGGGGGAACGATGGGACAATGGACGATGGGGGGAGACAGACATGGGCCATGGGGACATGGGGACATGGGACATACATGGAGGCATAGAGGCGGGGATGGAGCATGGAGCAGGAAAGAAAGGGGAGGATGGATAACGAGCAGGGCAGCGGGGACCTGGCCTGGCCGCGCCGAGGGCCAGGGCAGACTGAGTTCGCCACACGCGGCGCCCCGGCACCAAGACGCCCCTGACCCCGCCCCAGTCCACGAGCTTATGGCCCTTGCCATTGGTTTTCCAATTGCCGTAGAGCTGCTCGTAGTCCTCCTCTGGGATGATCTCATCCTCTGGGTCCTCCAAGCGCGTCTCCTGCGCCTGCTTGGTGACCAGCTTGCGCGTGTCCTCCTCGGTGCCCCAGGTGATTTTGACGGCGAGCGTGCCAGCCTGGGTCGTGGCCAAGACGCACACCTGCCTCCAATGCTTGTGCATGCGAAGCACCATCACATCGGTGCCGAACTGCTCCAGCAGCTTCTGGACGCTCTTGTACTTTGCCTTGAACCTCGCTTGGAACACCCTCTGGCAGTAATAGCACACCTCCCAGCGGCTGCAATACTAATCACGCCTCTTCCGTGGAAGGTGCAGGCGCGGGGGCGTGCAGGCGCGCCGGGAGGCCGAGGGGCAGGCGTGCCAACGCGTCAAGAGACGATGACACGATGACAACAAGAGGGCCCGTGGAGGCAACTGCTCCTTGCAATCTGAAGACCGGGCTGCGCCAAACGCGGCGACGACGGAGGTCCCCGAAGGGCAACTACCGTTCTCTCCACTGGCCCTCCCGTGAGCATCGCAGCATCACAGCAGCATCGCCGTCATCTGCATGGCTCGGCCAGCGCGTGACAGACGACGATGACACGATGACCGCGCCACAGACCACAGGAGGGCCAATTGAGACAACGGCCCCTCGAAATGTGAAGACTGAATTTAAAGGACTGAAGACCGAGTTGCTGAAGGCCGAGCTGCGCCCAGCCGGGGCGACGACGGAGGCCCCTGGAGGTCCGAAGGTCAACTGCCGTCCAGACCCTGACCCAGACAAGGACCCTGACACAGACACCCTGACCCCAGACACCCAGACCCAGACTCCAGACCCTGACCCAGACCAGGGCCCTGACCCTGACACCCTGACCCAGACACCGTGACCCAGGACCCATGAGCCCATGAACCACGGGCGCGCAGACCGAAGACCCTGACCCAGACACGCGGGGCAAGGGCCCCACGGCTACGTATTAAACGTATTACAATGAGGCAAGAACTCCTTTAGGCACCCAATTTGCGTCTCAAGTCAGCCGACAATGACCGCGACAACGACGACGCGACGAAAGAGTGAGGATCGTTTGAGCGTCAACCGGGCACCATGCCAGAGTTCTTGCCATCTGGCGATGGCGGGTAGGCCCAGATGATCGTACGCGTCACGTAGACGTGGTCGACCTCGGTGTCCTTCATGCCGCAGAGAAGGCACGCGCGGCCGTCTGGACAGACAAGGCAGTGCACGAGCTTCATGATGGCCTGCGCCTCCTTAGAATCTTCGGCATGCGCTGTTACAACCATGCCCATGGACTGCAAGCCGGCCAAGGTCGGGTCCTCCAACGCTGGCGTGGCGTCCGAGCTCCCAGGCGCGGCCTGGGCGGCCTGGGCCGCGGCCGCGCGCTTATTGCCTCTGCGCCGAACAGCGAGCCTCCCTTCCGGCTGGGCCATGGCGCAGACAAGCTCGCGGGGCCCTTACAAGCCAGGGGCAGCACTCGGGGAATCCGCCACCGTGCCTCGTGCAACGTTGAGGCGCGGTAGTTCCATGTGACCATAGGCTGTCTGGCGCGGTTGTTCTTATCCCAGAAGCCCTGCCAGAGCGCGAGCCGCGAGTACCCCCCTCCCCCCCCGCCGCTGGGTCAGGGCGCGAGGGGCCGCGCTCGGGCGGCGGCGGGCGATGACGACGAACTCTCCCCTACCCACCTTACCCCTGCCCCTCCCCCCTCCCCTTCTTGTCCCCCTCTTCCCCCCCCCCTTCCCCCCCGCCCCACCTCCCTATTCCTCATCCTCGGCGCGCAGCCCCGCCTCGGCGCGCGCGCGCACGCACGCAACGCGCGCATCACGCGCACACGCGCGCACAACGCACACAACACCCCAGCGCTTGCGCCCTCTATGGGTCCATGGCTGGTCTATGGGGCCACCCGATGCTGCGCTGACGCGGTGCCGCGGCACACGGCGGCGGTGCGTGCCGCAGGCAACTCGAATAATCACAAAATTAAAATCGAAGGCCAGAAGCGGCTGGGCCAAACGCAGCGCGGATACGTGGATGCGGGAAGCAGGAATCAGCGCGGCTGGCGGCAGCAAGCAAGCAGGGGCTCGGAACAGCGAGACGGGGAGGAAGGCTGCAGGCAAAGGGCAAGGGCCACATTAGAGGATTTATCCGAGGAAGGGCCAGGCACGGCACGCAAGAAGAGGAAGCAGCAGCGAGGCTCGGGGCAGGAGGAAGGAGGCCTGAGAGCGCCAGCGCGACGAGCGACGAGCGCCCGAACGCGATCCTGCGCAGTGTATGGGAATTGGTGGGGACGTGCCTTCTTCGCCCTTAAAGCCTGATCGCCCTCTCCCGGGACCGCCCCGGCATCCTTTCCACGAGCGATGATCCATGAAGGAGATCGTGAGAGCGAGAGCTGGAGCGAGAGACCTCTGGGGCGCCTCCAAGGCCATCCATATGCTGGAGCCCGCAGGCGTGCCGGCGTGCCAGAGGCCAAGGAGCCGGCGGTCCTCCCAAAACCATGGGGCGTGCAGGCGTGCCAGGCGTGCAAGGGGGCCAAGGGGCCAGTCTGCCAGCGCGTCAAGACGCGATGACAACAAGATGGCCCATATAACCCATATACAACTGCTCCTCGCAATCCTGAAGACTGAAGACCGAGATGCGCCCGGCCGCGGCGAAGACGAAGATCCCCGAAAATCAACTACCGTTGTCTCCACTGGCCCTCCCGCGAGCATCGTCGCCTGGCTCGGCCAGCGCGTCGACAGCCTGGCTCGGCCAGCGCGTCAAACAGCCTGGCTCGGCCAGCGCGTCAGCGGACGATGACCGCAGGAGGGCCAGGTGAGACAACGGCTCATCAGAATCCGCAGACCGAAGAACGGCTGGACGCTACGGTACCACAACATTACTTACTACCTGGAACATCTGGGTCGTCGCAACGCGTCGATTGCCAATGCCTAAACTCGGAGGTGCCGCCCAATCTTCCCCCGGCACTGCAATTGTGCGGCATCTAATGAAATGTATAATGCCGAATGCCGCGTCAAGTAATGTCAGGAGGAGTTGGCACATAGCATATAGAGCATATAGCCATAGCGTAACACACACGCCTGTAACATGGCGAAATCGACGCTTCCCTCTGCGCGAAACTCGAGGCACATATAACAGAAAACGTCGCGCTCTCGCGCCGCCCGCACCGCCCCCAAGACCCCCAGACCCCAGGGTGAACCGGGGGCCGCGAACACCGAAGCGCGAATAACTTCACGCATTGACCTCGGCTCGGAGGGGGGGCGCCCTGGACGACGGCCGCGACGCCAGAGGCCGACGACGATTGTAAGGACACACGCCGAGAAGAAAGGGGTTGAACAGCGCTCCGCACGGCCAAATCCAGAATGCCGCCGCGTCTGCTGCAACAAATCTGCAAGGTGACAAAACGACCATGCTGCATGGACCATGCTCCATGGCCCGGCCCCTGCAAGGCCATCGGAGTTCCCCTCAGGCAGGCGCTGCGAACAAGGCAGGGGGCAGGGCGCGCGGCGGGGGCCGCCAAGTGGCAGAGGAAATCAAGTGCTTCAAATGCCCATCCCATGAGCGCCGCAACGCCGCCGGCGAACCAGACACCTCTTCGAATCAATCCGACCTGTCGCCAGGCGCGGCCTCCCTGCGCAGATTTCTGATGAGGCCGATCGAGGCTGGCCCGCACGCGAAGGCGGAGAACGCGTTCCCCGCCAGTTTGGTCGTCGTCCCGTGGTCGGGGAAGATGGCCTCGCTACCCCCAATCTGTGGAGGCGCCCTCATGAACGAGCGGTCGTAGCCAATCATCTGCATCATCTCCATGCCGTCCAACTGGCGATATAGCGCGACCTCCTGCTCCGTCTGGACGTCCACGTCTTTCCACCTCATAACATAGACGCCCTTGGTACATATAGTCGGGACTGTGGTCGACCACGGGTTCTTAGTACCCTTCGGACCTACTAGACGGGACAAACTCTCGTTCACGTCGATATACTCGAAGACCTTGGTGTCATCAGAGGTGGTGGCGAACGTGGGGAACGCAAGGCACGCGAAGACGACGCACTCGTAGGGCCGCTGCTCCATGTGGTCGAGAGAGCCTCCGAACATGCCCCTGCAGGGCGGCCAATCCTGGTTGATGAGCCCGTAGTAGAACAAATGGTCGTCCTTGTACTTGTGCTCCTTCTTGGGCTCGCTCGGACTCTTGGCGTAGCACGTGCGGAGCTCCGTGGGGAGGAGATAGCGCTCGAGGGTCACGGTGTCGCCGTCGCGGCAGGAGTTGGCCATTGTCTGGAGGAGCGAGTCGGCCTCGTCGGCGAAGCGACGACAGCCGTTCTTCCAAGCAAGCCAATACAAGCGCTCGCGCCGAGGGCAAGAACCGTAGTGGCGCGCCTCGATCCTGTACCACCTGGCGACGTAGCCGATGCCTTCGAACCAAGTCACGATGAAGTCCGCGTCGCATTGGCCATCATCATCCCTCTGGAGCAGGTCAACCTGCGGCAATGCGGCAGTGCGGGCACCCGCCCCCGGCTTACGCCTCAACCTCCTACCCCCCTGCCCGTAGACCCTCATCTCATCTCATTGTACCTCGTAGACTCATAGACCCATAAACCCCCATAGTACCCATAGCGCCATAGCGCTTCCTCCATGCAGGCGGAGTTGATTGGGCAGGACATCCGAGAGGACACGAGACTCTTCCGAGGGCAACGTGGCCCCGAACAACCAGAGGACACGCAGAGGGCGTGGGGCGAGATAGAGAGGCCACAAGGGCACCCTTCATTTGGCAGGGTCGCCCTACTAATCGATCCACGGGCCCATGGAGGGCCCAGGGGCCCCCGAGCCCATATGGCCCATATGATAGCCATGCATGAGCCATGAGCGCCACTCCCACTCCTCCTCAATCTCATCCTCCTCCTGCTGACCATCCCCCGCCTGTCCCCGGCCCATCCTCATCCCATCCCTTGGCCCATATCCATATCCCCCAATCCCATCCCGCCCATCCCCCATCCTCCGCCCCCTCCGCCCCTGCCCCCTTGTGCCCTTGTGGTCCCCCTGAGCCACCACGTTTTCCAGAATAACAGCCCGCGGCTTGTGCTCTTCGATGTGCCTGCCTATCTCGTCGAAGGAGCTCCCAGTGCTTCCCAAGCGCTCCCTGACTGCATTGGGCCCCTCCCGGTTATTGTTCTTCTTGCTCCGGCCCTTGCAGATGAAGCCCGCTATGAAGATGTCCAAAGTCGGGATCGCGAACGACACGACCTCCTTGTTGATGACCGGCGTAACCTTCTCTCCCAGCGACTCTGTTGCAGCAATAATAACTCCGGGCGAATGATTCAGCATGATGAATTTCTGGACGGCCTCGTCATTGTCGCACGCGAACGCGTGCTGGATCTGCATCTCCACCCCGAACTCCTTGCAGGTGGAGGGAGCGAAGCAGGGGAGAGGACGACGGAGGCGAGCGACGGCACGTGAGCCCCCGAACCCATGCCTGGTAGCCTACCCTGGTCTGGTAGCAGAATAACGATGATACGGGGGCACCTAACGACGGCACGAGGGTTCGAATAACGAAAAACGAGAGTGGTGAGCCCCTGGGCCCATGACCCATGAGCCCATGAGGACTGATGCCTAGCGCGAGAACTGGAGTCCAGGGGCGCGTCACGACACGGTTTCCGCCAAGCGCTGGCCAAGCCCCCGAAATCCCCGCCGACTTCCACAGAGAGACCGCCGGCAACCACAGGCCCGGAGCCAGCCGGAGGGGCCATTCCAACCCGCGAGGGCCCCGGCCAATGGACCCCGGAAGGGCTGGCTGGCGTAAACGGACCAGACCAGCGAACCAGACAAGCCAGACCAACTGGACCAGCCAGACCAGACCAACCAGACCAGATCAGACTAGCCATGCCATCATGCCAAATCTTCGCAACAGACCAGACCAGACTAACCATACCTTGGTTACGCCCGTCTCTGCGAGACTTCGGCGAGGCACGCACCCCCATCTCGCCACCGCCGCGGCTCAGGCGAGGCGACGACGACGACGCTTACGACTTACGACGATCAAAAGGGGGCCCCGGCCTCCTCCAGGGGCCCAGACGCACCAGTTTTTCGATTCGCTTCCAGCCGCGGCGGCGAGCAGGGCCCCCGAGGGCCAGGAAACCTCGATCTTCGAGGTTCGAGTTTCGAACCTCGGCGACGACGACGACGATTACGACGACGACGACGACGAGGACGAAGTCGAGGATCGAGGGTCGAGGATCGAGGATCGAGGATCGAGTGTCGAGGGTCGAGGATCGAGGATCGAGGATCGAGAGTCGAGGGTCGAGGAGCGAGGATCGAGGATCGAGATTTTGTTGTGTTGTTTCGTGGCTTCTGGGGGCGCCCTCGCGGGGGCGGCTGGATCCGATTTGAAATTCTGTTGGTCAGAACGCGCCCCATCGTCATCGTCATCGTCGGCGTCGCCGCTCATCGTCATCGTCATGTTGGCCAGAACGCGCTCCATCATCATCATCATCACCACCGTGCACCATTTTCATAACCTCAGCGCTCCCCTCGTAGGGAGTCCAGCCACGCCAAGTTGCGCTCGTGCTCCATCATGCGCATTTCTTGGTCATAGGCTAGGCGCGCCGGCCCGAAGGCACACGCCTCGGCTTCCTCGACCCTCCCGTTCCTCGCCATCCATCGCCCGTAGGCGGCCCCGTCCACCGCTGCCTGCCAGGCGCCCCCCGGCGTCGGCTGCTCCGCCGCCCTCCGCCTCTCCTCCTCCTCCAGCTCCAGATCCACCGCGAGGTACTCGGCCGCGGCGGTCATCAGCGCCGCCTCCAGCTCCAGCTCATCCGCGTCGAGCCGCGCTAGCCGGTCCGCCTCCCGCTGCAGCTCCCCCGCGGCCTGGACAGCGGCCTGGATGCGGGCGTCGCGCATGTCCACGCCCGGCATCGAGGCGAGCAGGTCGCTCACAAAGGACGGGTCCTGGAACCACCTTTCGTCCACCCTGTCTCTGCCGCCGCCGCTAGCTCCGCCAGCATCGCCGCGTCCGCGTCCGCTAGCGCCGCCTCCGCCTCCAGCATCGGCGCCGCCGCCGCCTCCGCGTCCGCCAGCATCGCCGCGTCCGCGTCCGCCAGCATCGCCGCGTCCGCGTCCGCGTCCGCTAGCGCCGCCGCCGCCTCCAGCATCGCCTCTGTCGTCGTCGTCGTCGTCGTCGTCGTCGTCGTCGACGCCGCCGCCTCCAGCATCGCCTCGTCGTCGTCGTCGTCGTCGTCGTCGTCGTCGTCGTCGTCGTCGTCGTCGTCGTCGTCGTCGTCGTCCGCCGCCAGCTCCGCCGCGGAGCCCGCCAGCCGTCCAGCAGCCCCAGTCGTCCGACGAGTTGTCCTCGTCGCGCGCCGCGCCGCCACAGAGCCCGCCAGCCGTCCAGCAGCCCCAGTCGTCCGACGAGTTGTCCTCGACCGCGCCGCCAGCCGGCGCCGCGACCGCGCCGCCAGCCGGCGCCGCGCTGCCAGCAGGGCTCGGCGGGCCACATGACGGGCTCGCAATCTCGGGCAAGGAGCTCGGGACCGGCTGCTCCGTCGCGCTCGAGATGGCGTCGGACATCGGCGACATCGGCCTGGAGGGGCTGGCGGGGACGGGTATCTCCACCGGGGACGTCGGGTCCGGCGGGGACGTCGGGTCCAGCGGCGGCGTCGTCCGCGGATCCGTCACTGAGGACACTGAGGACGGTAACGGCGACGGCAACGGCGACGGCGCCGACGCCATCCGCGGCGACGACGACGACGACGACCTTGAGTCTTGAGTCCGATGGCTACGGAAAGGGCGCGAAAAACGTGCGAGGGGTGTGCCGAAATCTAGAGGGCACGAAACGCGTGAGGGGTGCGCTGAAATGGAGAGGGCACGAAACGTGTGAGGCGCGTGCCGAAATGGGGAGGGCACGAAACGCGCGAGGGGCGTGCCGAAATGGAGAGGGCACGAAACGTGCGAGGCGTGTGCCGAAATGGGGAGGGCACGAAACGCGTGAGGCGTGTGCCGAAATGGAGAGGGCACGAAACGTGTAAGGCGCGTGCCGAAATGGGCGGGCGCGGGAGGGGGGGCGGAGGAAGGGGTGGGAAGGGGCGGAGGGGGAAGGAGGGGGCAGGGGGAAGGGATACGCGAAGCGTCTAGTGTTCCGGATGGGAGGGGGTACCCTTTCCTCCTGTCCCGCCCCTTTGCCATTCCCCCCGCGCCGCAGGCGGGCGACGCCCGCGCGGCCGGCGCCGCCGCCAGCTCGGTGGGCTGAGGAAGGAGGTCGCGGTCGTCGTCGGGCCGATTGCCGCCAAGATGGGCCGCGAGACGGCCCCGCGAGGACCCCGGCCAATGGACCCTGGACCCCGGAAGGGCTGGCTGGCGTAAACGGACCAGACCAGCGAACCAGACAAGCCAGACCAACTGGACCAGCCAGACCAGACCAACCAGACCAGACCAGACTCATGCCATGCCAAATCTTCGCAACAGACCAGACCAGACTAACCATACCTTGGTTACGCCCGTCTCTGCGAGACTTCGGCGAGGCACGCACCCCCATCTCGCCACCGCCGCGGCTCAGGCGAGGCGACGACGACGACGCTTACGACTTACGACGATCAAGAGGGGTCCCCGGCCTCCTCCAGGGGCCCAGACGCACCAGTTTTTCGATTCGCTTCCAGCCGCGGCGGCGAGCAGGGCCCCCGAGGGCCAGGAAGCCTCGATCTTCGAGGTTCGAGTTTCGAACCTCGGCGCCAACCTCGGCGACGGCGGCGGCAGCGGCGGCGGCGCCGACGGCACAGACGGCGACGACGACGACGACGACGACGACGACGACGACGACGACGACGACGAGGAGGACGAAGTCGAGGATCGAGGGGCGAGGATCGAGGATCGAGGATCGAGGATCGAGTGTCGAGGGTCGAGGATCGAGGATCGAGAGTCGAGGGTCGAGGAGCGAGGATCGAGGATCGAGATTATGTTGTGTTGTTTCATGCCCTTTCGTGGCTTCTGGGGGCGCCCTCGCGGCCGCGGCTGGATCCGATTTGAAATTCTGTCGGTCAGAACGCGCCCCATCGTCATCGTCATCGTCGCTGGGGGGGGGGCCTGGGAAGCCGTCTTGGAGGGGCGTTTTGGACGCCGGCAATGACCACTTTGGATTCTGCTACTGCGGCATGGGAGAAGGGGGAATTTGGGAAACCGACCCTGGCGTCCTCCGACCAGTACTTCACCAACTGCTCCAGCACGACCATGATGATCTCGGTCCCCGAGCACGCGGTCCCCACGGTGATCGGGCCGCCGCTCGCGAGGAAGTGGAGCTGCTCCTGCATGGTCCGCGTCTCTCTGGGGGAGAACGCCTGCGAGACAAAGGATGGCGTCGCGGGATCGCAAGAAGGGCCCAAGAAGTGCACAACGTACCCCGACACCCCGTTCAACCACAAAGTTCTGGCGCCGTGGACCCCCGGCCACAAGTCAGGCCCATGGGCGCGGGCCCAATACGTGTAAAATTCTCGGGC